GCTGGAAGGTCTTCAAGAAGCCCAGCCACCTGCACCAGCACCAGATCATCCACACCGGCGAGAAGCCCTTCTCCTGCTCCGTGTGCAGCAAGAGCTTCAACCGCAGGGAGAGCCTCAAGCGGCACGTGAAGACGCACTCGGCGGACCTCCTGCGCCTGCCGTGCGGCGTCTGCGGGAAGGCCTTCCGCGACGCCGCCTACCTGCTCAAGCACCAGGCGGCGCACGCGGGCGCGGGCGCGGCGGGGCCTCGGCCGGTGTACCCCTGCGACCTGTGCGGCAAGTCCTACTCTGCGCCCCAGAGCCTGCTCCGGCACAAGGCGGCGCACGCCCCTCCCGCCGCCCCCGACGCCCCCAAGGACGCCGCGGCCTCGGTCCCGCAGCCCCCGCCGGCCTTCCCTGCGGGCCCCTACCTCCTGCCCCCCGACCCTCCGGCCACGGACAGCGAGAAGGCCGCGGCGGCCGCGGCGGCGGTGGTCTACGGCGCCGTACCCGTCCCGCTGCTAGGGGCGCACCCGCTGCTGCTCGGCGGGGCTGGGACCAGCGGGTCGGGGGGCTCGGGCGCCAGCGTGCCTGGAAAGACCTTCTGCTGCGGCATCTGCGGGCGCGGCTTCGGGCGGCGCGAGACTCTGAAGCGCCACGAGCGCATCCACACGGGCGAGAAGCCCCACCAGTGCCCCGTGTGCGGGAAGCGCTTCCGGGAGTCCTTCCACCTGAGCAAGCACCACGTGGTGCACACCCGCGAGCGGCCCTACAAGTGTGAGCTCTGCGGCAAAGTCTTCGGCTACCCACAGAGCCTCACCCGCCACCGCCAGGTGCACCGGCTCCAGCTGCCCTGCGCCCTGGCCGGGGCTGCCGGCCTCCCGGCCACCCAGGGCGCACCAGGGGCCTGTGGGCCCGGCGCCTCGGCCACCTCTGCGGGGGCCGCCGATGCACTGAGCTACGCCTGCTCGGACTGCGGGGAGCACTTCCCCGACCTCTTCCACGTGATGAGCCACAAAGAGGCTCACATGGCAGAGAAGCCCTATGGCTGTGACGCGTGCGGCAAGACCTTCGGCTTCATTGAGAATCTCATGTGGCACAAGCTGGTCCACCAGGCCGCCCCCGAGCGCCTGCTCCCGCCAGCACCCGGTGGCCCCCAGCCCCAGGATGGCTCTGGCAGCGCCAACGCGGCCAGTGTGCTGGACAACGGCCTGGCGGGAGAGGTCGGGGCAGCTGTGGCTGCACTGGCTGGGGTGTCCGGGGCTGACGACGCAAGCGGGACAGCAGTGGCTGGGGGTAGTGGGGGGGCCAGTTCAGGCCCTGAGCGCTTCAGCTGTGCCACGTGTGGCCAGAGCTTCAAGCATTTCCTGGGCCTGGTGACTCACAAGTACGTGCACCTGGTGCGGCGGACCCTAGGCTGTGGCCTCTGCGGCCAGAGCTTCGCGGGGGCCTACGACCTGCTCCTGCACCGCCGCAGCCACCGGCAGAAGCGGGGCTTCCGCTGCCCCGTGTGCGGCAAGCGCTTCTGGGAGGCGGCCCTGCTGATGCGCCACCAGCGCTGCCACACGGAGCAGCGGCCCTACCGGTGCGGGGTGTGCGGCCGAGGCTTCCTGCGCTCCTGGTACCTGCGGCAGCATCGCGTGGTGCACACCGGCGAGCGCGCCTTCAAGTGCGGCGTCTGCGCCAAGCGCTTCGCGCAGTCCTCCAGCCTGGCGGAGCATCGGCGGCTGCACGCCGTGGCCCGGCCCCAGCGCTGCGGCGCCTGCGGCAAGACCTTCCGCTACCGCTCCAACCTGCTGGAACACCAGCGGCTGCACCTGGGGGAGCGCGCCTACCGCTGCGAGCACTGCGGGAAGGGCTTCTTCTACCTGAGCTCGGTCCTGCGCCACCAGCGCGCCCACGAGCCGCCGCGGCCCGAGCTCCGCTGCCCGGCCTGCCTCAAGGCCTTCAAGGACCCTGGCTACTTCCGTAAGCACCTGGCGGCCCACCAGGGCGGCCGGCCCTTCCGCTGCTCCTCCTGTGGCGAGGGCTTCGCCAACACCTATGGCCTCAAGAAACACCGGCTGGCCCACAAAGCTGAGGGCCTGGGGGGTCCTGGGGCAGGGGCGGGCACCTTGGCGGGAAAGGACGCCTGACCAGGAGGGAGGGGTTCCGTTTGCGGCTCCAATCAGATGTCCCCTCCCACACTCACCCCTCCCCAGCTGCTGATCAGATTCTTACCCCTCCTCGCTGTTGCCCTGGCCGCCCTTCAGGACTTCGGACAGACTAGCCTCCCTTACGGCCCATGCCCTACAGACTCAAGACTGGATCGCTCCCATCCTGGACCTGTCTGGCCCTCCTCTCACCCTGCCAGCCACTGAACTTGATCCTCCGCCCAACCCCGTTTTGTAACCTTCCTCATTCTGTCTCCCAATAAGCTTTGGTGGAGGATGTAGGTCTGAGCTGCCCCTCCCCAATCCTTTGGGATCTGGCTGGAAGGTGGAGTATGAGCGGAGCCGGGAGGGCACAAGGGGACTGGGTGCTCTTTTGGATTGTGGGGGTGGGGGCGGGGGGCAGACGCGGCTTGTACAGAGCGGAGAATAATAAATCTTACCAACAGGGCTGCTGCAGTCCTTTCTTGCATCCCAGGGAGGGGATTAAGCGCTGACAAACGGAAAGTTGAGAAATTTAGTCTCCCAGGGTTTTTGATTCCCCAAACACCCTCGACTCGTGCTCACACTTTCTGCTTTGCCTCGTTCAGCTGGGAATTGCTGAGGATTTATCATGCCCAAGCTGTAGTGTGCACCTTGAGCAGAGGGAGATGAACAAGACAGGTAAGTTTTGTTCTCAGAAACCGACAGCGTACCCAGACTCCTCCTCTTCGAGATGTTGTGGCAGTTGTTTGCTTGGCCAGCGTTTCCCGAGGCCCCTGTCGGCCGGGTCCTTCACTGGACACTGGGGACACACGAGCCGGACATGCTCCTTGCCCTCAGGTAAGGTGGAAGAGAACCCCCGCCGCGCCTGTCCCTCCAGGATAATTTGGAGGCGCTTCAAAAGCCCTTCCACAGCCCTCATTGCCATTGTTGGAGCAGCCGGCCATGTGCCCTTCAATGTGCGTTTAGTTCTCCCAACTGTCAGAAGAGGGGGCTGAGGTCCTGGAAAAGAAAGCGGCTCGGAGGACACCTGGCAGATCCGTGGGAGAACTGGGACTGTGTGGGCCCACGGTGCTGTCAGTACTGAAACTTGAAGACAGAGCTGGTTCAGGGACACTGCCTGGGCGGGTCCGGTTTGGCCCACACGAGGGCAGCAGCCTAGTGTGACCAACGCAGGCTAGTGCTGAAGACCCAGCATGAGACACACCTGGTGCCAGCGTCCCCAGGGGCAGCACCATAGAAAGCACATGGAATGATCACTGGGCGCTGAGAGCATGGAGGAGTCACCTTCTTAGAGCCGGGGGCTTCCTGGAGGAGGAAGTGATACTCGAACAATAACAAAAGCCACAGAAGCCTGCCAGGTAATGTGGGCAAAGAACTCTAGGTGGAGGGTTTAGTGTGTCTAACTAAACCTAACTGAGAACCTCAAAGCTGAGTGTGGTCCGAGATGCTGAGGCATGGGAGGCTGGATCCTGAAGGGCTTTGGATTCCAAAGAGTGAAGCTTGGATGATCCTGGGGCCCGGACGCCAGCAGCTGCTGGATACAGGCCACTGCCAGCCTTTGTTTAGCCCATGCATTTAAAAAATAATAATAAAGTTTGACTTAGTTGCTAACATTTGGAAATCAAAAGATTTTGCATAATTAACTAATGGAACTTCTGAAAAATTTGCAAGATCTAGCAACCCAGCTGCACTCTCCCAAAGCTGGGTAACCATTGCCGTCTTCAGACCGAGTGCACACTCTCCAATCTCCAACCAACTGCCCCACCTCGAAGCTCAGCTCTGAGCCGAAGTGCCCGTTGGCCTGTGTCCCCTCACTGGTGCTGGGCTTTTCCCCTTGCATCCAGCCACCCAGCTCCTATAGGCATTTATGCCTGAATCCTTTCTCAAAGCCGCAAGGAGCCGCGGGTCTATGAGGCTGTCATATGGAGATTGGAGATGGTGCTGCTGGGTAGTCACCCAGATGGGAGGCTGGTGTTGGCTTGGCCTACGAAAGTACTGATGATGGAAAGCATTCAGATTCCAAAGATACTGATTTGGCCCAACAGTGGGAAAGGGCTGAGGATAGGGATTAGATGAGTGCATGAGGAAGGCTTCAGGAACTTGCCCAGGTCTCTAGCTTGGGTGGTGATGCCAATGATAGGACATGCAGGTGTTTCTTTGGAGGAAACTGACTTCTGCTGGTGTTCTGACCTGCCTAAGGGACATCCCGTGAGAGGTGTTGGGTGAGCAGGAAGGTGTGCCTATCTGGAGCTCTCCCTTCGTGATAGGTGTACTGGTCACATGAGTCCCTTCATTTTGCCAAGCTTCCCTAAACCTCCTGCCACAGCTGAACCACATAACATCTCTGAGAGCTAAAGATGAGAAAGCAGTTTTGGAGAGAGCGAGGCTGCAGTTCCCTCCTCGTGGCAAGACCACAGGGTAGACCCTCTACCTCCACCCTCCAAACACAAGACTGACAGAGAGAGACCCTTCAGAAAGTCCTTTAATGGTAGAACTGGAGGCTCCCCACCTCCAGCTCCCAGGTCCTCCTCTCGCGCCCACTACGGTGACTTAGTTCATCCCACACCCGCAGTACACAGGCCAGGCCACCATGCTGCCATCTCAGCCCTTCCTTGGGGTAGCCTTGGGTCAGGCATTAAGCTGTTTGCTTCCGATCGGGAGTGGAGGAAATCAGAGAAACTGAGGCTACTTTGGAGATCTGGGGGCCATGGGCTCTGAACCTAAAGCCTTATAAAGGGGAGATTAGGTGGCTGTTTGCTGTCCGGAATTTTTTTGTGGCTTCAGAGTTGGTGGGTTAAGGAGGGACCACCATGGGAGCCGGGAGCAGCTCTTGGAGTCAAGGTCTTTACGGTCAGGCTTACGTCCTTGAGGCTTGAGTGCCCTCGGCTAGGACATGGGGACCCTCTGGCTTCGAGGTGATGGGATCCCAGAGTCTCTTTACGGAGGACCTGGTGAGCATCTTCTGCCTGAGGGTGGGTAGGCATCCCAGGTTCAGTGCAATCCAGTGAGGTAGGCAAAAGATTCCATCCTGGCCCACCCTAGGCCCCAAGATCGTCCAGGGTTCTGTAGATGATGGGCTAGCCCAGAGACACCAGGACAGACCCTGGTTCTGCCCCTTCCATTTAACCCTGGCTCCCTCCATAGTGCCCAGGCTCTGTGGGGACAAGCCGTGTCTTGCACGAGCGCACCCAATGAGCAGGCCGATTGGGAAGTGACATCCAGCCCACAGTCCTCACACTTAGCTGGGCATCCACCAGGTGGTGTCTGTGCCTTTCTGAGTCTCATGGAGGTGCTGTCTGGGTTTGTGGGGGTCCTAAAACTGGGTCTCCCTGTGTTCTCCCGCACTAGCTGCTCATGGCCATCTCTGTTAGCTCTTGTCACATCTCCCCCAATCTCCCCTCTCCTGCCTCCTTGTCCCCCCCTCCCCCTCCCCTGCAATCTGCCTCCTACTGTCTGTGTCAATGCCCCCGCAGCCCTGGTCTCCCAGCCTACTGGTCGACTTCCATCTTCACCTTGGCCCCTTCCCCTTGCCCTTCTTCCAGACTGTTTCCTGGCCCACACCCACTCCCTGGCCCCTCGGCCCCTGTGGCCTGCTGGCTGCCAGAGTCCCCCAACCCCAGCCCTGGGCCCGGCCCGTGGAAGTGGGTGCGCTGGTGCTTGCGGAAGTTAGAGGAGTTGTTGAAAGTGCGATCGCACAGGGCGCAGCGGAAGGGGCGCTCCCCCGTGTGGATGCGCGCGTGGCCGCTCAGCACTGAGGACTGCGTGAAGCCCTTGCCGCAGATGCCGCAGTGGTAGGGCCGCTCGCCCGTGTGCACCCGCTCGTGGTCGCGCATGTCAGAGGAGCGGCGGAAAGGCTTGGCGCAGAACCTGCAGGCGAAAGGCTTCCCCACCGCAGCACCCGCCGCCGCCGCCGCCATCACCACCTCCGACCTCTCCTGGGGCACCCCGGGCCTCTGTTCTCCAGCCGCAGCCACCTCCGGAGGCCTCTGAGAGGTCCCTGGCTCCACCCCGTGTCGGTGCTGGTGCCGCAGCAGAGGCGCCAGGGCCTTGAAGGCCCGGGGGCAGAGGGGGCAGCGGTAGGGCCGCTCCCCCGTGTGCAGGCTGTAGTGGGCGCGGAGGCTGGCGGGGCCCGGACAGCTGTGGCCACACACATGACACCGGCTGGGGTCCCCACCCTGCCCACCGCCCTCCCCCCCTGCCAGGTGGCCATGTTCGTGGAACAGAAGCTCAGAGACCAGCCGGAAGGCAGCTGGGCACAAGGCACAGTGGAGGGAACCTGGCTCCGGGGGCTCAGGCACCAGCGTGGTGTCTGTCACCTTCACCACCTGGATCTCGATGAGGTCACTCGGGGGTGTGGTGGGGCGGCCATCATCAGGCACCAGGACCTGGGAGGGTGGGGTGGAGAAAAGACCAGGAGCCTGTGGACTCTCCCACAGGGCCTCCCCAACACGCCCACTTATTAAAACACCCATCTCCTTTGTAGCATACTGGGCCCCTCAATTTTCAGATCCTGCCCTCCATCCTCCAGGATTCTGCAGTATGTTTCTCAAGACTTCCACTCCTATCCCAAGCACATCACAAATGCAGCCATTTCCCTCTTCTACCCCAGTTAGAAGCCCATTATTTCTTGGCTTGACAACTGAAAAAGCCTCCTGAGCAGAACCCCTGTTTCTATGCCTGCTCTCTCCCCAAAGCAGCCTGAATGACCTTTTGAAAATGGAAATTGGATCGTCATTTTCCCACTCAAAACCCTCCCATGGCTTCAAATGCACTTAAGATCCAAAACCATCATCATAATATCCATCATGATCTGGCTGCTGCTTGTCTCTGACCCCAGTGTAAATATAATCCGGCACACAGCTGACTTCTCTCATCTAAATTTAGCCCCCCTGACCCCCCTGACTCTATCAGCTCACTATTTCCTTTATAGCATGTAACACAATAAATATATTTTATTGTCTCTCCTCTAGACTGTGAGCTCCAAGAGAATAGAGTCCTTATCTGCTTGGTTCACCTCCCTACCTACTGAGCTGAAGTGCGAGCTCAGGAAATGTTTGTTACTCTCCAGTCCTGAGTGGGGAAAGTTCCAAAGTCACCTGGAGCAGTCATCCCTCCCCCCTAAAATCTTCCCTTAGGCATTCGGGACACGTCACTCAGACTCTTGCAGAATCACTCCAACGTGGGTCTTCCGACCATAACTATCCACCCTTGCGGTTCAGGGTCACCTTCCCAATCTTCCACCCAATTCCACTAGCCCCAGAATTTCTGAGGCCCCGCCCCTCGGGAGGTCCCGCCCCCTCATTACACAAACGCAATCTCAGATCTCTCCCAGGACTCATCTCCCGCCCAGATGTTCCACCCAACCCCCTCCTCTAGCCCCGCCCCTCCATGCCCCGCCCTCCATCCCCCATAGGCTCCTCCTTATGCCACGCCCCTCGCCCACCCCGAGAAGCACCGCCCCCAGACCCGGAGCCCTAAATACCTCCCCCGCCCAGCCCTTGTAGGCCCCGCCCCGGCCCCGCCCCTTGCCCCGAGACCTCCTCCCGCCTCGAGAACCCGGCCGAGGCCCCTTCCCCGCCCGCACCACGTCCGGCGTCTCCGGGGATCGCGGCTCCGGGGCCGCTGAGCTCGGACTCGGGGGCTCCGGGCGCGCGGCGGCCATCTTGTGCTCAGGCCCCGCCCCCATGCCCGTGGTCGCGGCGGGAGGGGGCGGGGCTCGGGCCCCCGTCAGCGGCGCTGCGCAGGCGCACACGGGCGGGTAAGGGCGTGGCCCTGCGGCGGCCGCGCCCCGCCCGCCGGAGGGCAGGGCCGCGTCTCTTCCCACCTGTCGGCAACGGAGGGCTGAGCCGGTGTGGGGCGCGGAGGTGGCCCCGGCCAGTCCGGATTTCCCTCCCGCTCACCAGCATCCGCAGGCCGTGGCCGTCCGCCGACTCCCGCCGGAGCCTCTCCCGCGTTACCCCCACACGGTCTTGTCGCCGCCCCCGGGGGGCCGTGCGAAGGTGGCCGGCGTGGGGGCTTCCACGGCAGGTCCTGGGCCAGCCGCGGCCCCGCGGGCCTGGAGCGCGCACAGCCCAGGGCGGTGCGGCGTGGAGAGCCCACCTCCGCTCGGGCCACGTTCCCGCGGTGTCGGGTGTAAAACCGGGCGGCGGTGGGAAGAGGGGTACGGGGCGCCCCTGCGGCCGCGTCGGGGGCGCTGGGGACGGCCGGGCAGCGCCGCTGGAACCTGCCGCTTCTCCTCCCCCGGGACGCGGTGGCGCGGCCGTCCCTGGCAGCAGGCCCGGCCCGTGCTTCTCCTTGGCCCCGGGACCATCCGGGGCAGGAAGCCGCGTCCCCTTCAGCGCGCGGGGGAGCCTGCGGGCCCTTCGCCAGCTCCCCGCGCCCGTCCCCGCGTGGGATCCGCTGGCCGCGGCGGTTTGCGGCCGCCCGACCTCCAGAGCGTCCGCCGGACCACCAGCCGTCCTGGTGCCGGCCTCCGGGGACGCGTAGCGGTTGTGTAGCGTCGGGGAGGGCTTGATTCTGCCGAGCCGCGAGCCACCGTGCTGCTACTGCTGGGGGCGTCAGCTATTTTTTTTTTTTAATTAATTTATTTATTTGACAGAAGGGCAGGCGGAGGGAGAGCGAGAAGTAGGCGCTTCGCTGAGCGGGAGGTGGGGCTCGATCCCGGCACGAGCTGAAGGCCGCCGCTTCATGGGCTGAGCCACCCGCGCCCCGGGTGCACGGGGTTCCGTCTCGACTGATACACAGACGGGGTCTGTCCTCACCCGCCCCTACTGACACTTGCGCGGGTCTCCTCAGAAACGGTTTCCGTGTGAAAAGGGTCCAGTAGGGGCGCCTGGGTGGCTCAGTGGGTTAAAGCCACTGCCTTCAGCTCAGGTCATGATCCCAGCATCCTGGGATCGATCCTGGCATCGAGCCCAGCATCGAGCCTGGGATCGAGCCCCACATCGAGCCCCGCCTCGAGTCTGCTCAGCGTGGAGCCTGCTTCCCTCTCTCTCTCTCTGCCTGCCTCTCTGACTACTTGTGATCTCTGTCTGTCAAATAAATAAATAAAATCTTAAAAAAAAAAAAGAAAAGGGACCAGTAATAGGAACAGCTGCCCAGACCCGCTAATAAGCTTAAAAGACAGGACATTGCAGATACCATCCAGCCTGCGCCCCGACACCTGTTCTCCCTCCCCCAAGGTTAGACTTTGTATCTTCTGTTTGTCGTTCCTAGGCATGTCTTCCTTGTTCTCTGCGTAAACCAAGTGTGATGTTGTTCTGTGTGCTGTAAACTTTTTGTAATAAGGGCGCCTGGGGGCTCAGATCCTGATCCTGGGTCCTGGGACCCAGCCCTGTGCTCAACAGGGAGTCAGCTTCTCCCTCTCCCTCTGCCCTTTTCCCCCTGCTCATGCTCTCTCTCTCTAGTAAATAAATAAAACCTTTAAGGAAATAATTGTTCTTCTAATCAATTAGGAGTGCCTGGCTGACCCAGTCAGAAGAGCATGTTAACTCCTGATCTTGGGCTCGTTAAGTTCAAGTCCCACATTGGGTGTAGAGATAACAACAACAAAAAAAAAAAAACCTTAAAATTTTTCTAGGGGCACCTGGGTGGCTCAGTGGGTTAAGCCTCTGCCTTCAGCTTAGGTCATGATCTCAGGGTCCTGGGATCAAGCCCCGCATTGGGCTCTCTGCTCAGCAGGAAGCCTGCTCCCCTCACCCGCCCTGCCTACTTGTGATCTCTTTGTCAAATAAATAAAATCTTTTTTAAAAAACTTTAAAATTTTTCTAATAAATGATATAATTTCAGTCTAGCATTCTCTGTTTTCTCTTCCCCTTCTTATATTTGTGTACATGGATACTTCTAGTCTAGCAACTGTTGATGTCAATGCCGGCATAACACCCCACTGATGACCATGTCCCATTACATGTTTTCATTCTCCTCTTAGTGGGCATCGGGTTGGCTCCAACTTTTTATTATTGCAAACAGTACTGCCAGGAGTATTCTTGCTCATGTGTCCTTGAACCCTAAAGAGAGCTTTCTCTGTATTATATCACTGGAAGTTGATTTGCTTGGTCAAAAACTATTTAACATCTTCAACTCCCACCTGTATTATTTAGTTGCTTTTTATTTTTATTTTTAAAAAAGATTTTATTTATTTATTTATTTATTTGATAGAGAGACACAGCGAGAGAAGGAACACATGTAGAGGGAGAGGGAGAAGCAGGCTTCCCACCGACCAAGGAGCCCAATGCGGGGCTTAATCCCAGGACCCTGGGATCATGACTTAAGCCAAAATTCAGAGTTGGATGCTCAACAGCCTGAGTGCCCCCACGCCCCTCTTGAGTAAATTATTTCACCACTCACCGTCTCTAGTGCTTTCACCGGTCCCAGGATTTCTGCCCTTTGTGGCTCCTTCATTCCAAAAAATGCGTTTAAAATTAAATTTTATGACTGTGTTGGTGTAAAGAGGAACATAAACTAGGCTGGGTTGCATTCTTTTTTCTTCTGATTTCAAAATTAAAATATTTCTCATGGGCCCCTAAAAGTGTCATGAGTCCTAGGCACTGTAGATACCTGCTGTGGCTAATGAGAAAGGTAGCCCTTTCTGTTTTCTCATTTGTAAAGCAAAGATAATAGTACTTACTTAACACGGGTAAGTGCTAGGTGCTATGGTGATTAAACGAACCGCTCTATGTGAAGTGTGACGTAGGCACTAGGATCAGCTGTAATGATTACTAACTTCACCAGCAGTGAGTGGGAGCTCCTATTGCTTGGCGTCGTTATTAATCTTTGATAGTCCGATTTCATTTTTTGCCGATTTGGTGGGTGTGACATGGTTTTTCATCGAGGTTCCTTCTATTAAGTGAGATAATTCATGATCCCGTATCTAGCATAGAGCTCATCCTCTGTTCTCCTGTCTTGTGGGCCGGGTCCATGTCAGCTCTGCGTCCTCAGAAGGCTTCAGCGAATGGCGGGTGAATGAACAAAGGAGTGAATGAAGGAGTAGCTCAGTTAACGCAGGTAGTAGAATTTGGGTATGAGAGGTAGAGACAACTATTTGCAGAGGAGACCTAGTTCAGCAGAGTGACCACAAACTTTCAAGTCAGACAACCATGGGTTCAGATTCATTGATCCACTTGCTATGCAACTTTGGACAAGATGTGTCTTCTCAGTCCCCAGCTGCTGTCCACAAAGCGGGCAGCATGATGCTACTTGGTGGGACTGTACTGAGAACAGCACACGGAGAATGCTGTGGGTCCAGCGTAATTCCTGGAACCAGCTGGTGCTCAACAGACGTGGACTCCTTGCCTTTTCCCCTGTCTGCCTGGGTCCCTCGTGGGCTGGCAGTACATTAGCAGCCGATATTTCAGGATCTGATGCTAGAAGTCTGGCTACATGGACCCGCTAAAAATGGCAGAAAGAGCCCTGGATTTGGAGTTGGAAGATGTGGGGTCTAGTCTTGCTTCTTTCTGTCCCTGCTGTGAGCACATCACTTCTTGGTGGGCTGGATCTCCTGCTTCTTAAATGAATTGGCTGTTAGGTTTACCATAGGACCCAGCAATTCCACTCCCAGGGAGGTTTCCAAGGGAAAGGAGAACATTTGTCCACACAGAAATTTGTAAACAAATGCTTACAGCACCATTACTCATAGTAGCCAAAGGTGGAAACAATGCAAATGTCCATCAACTCATGAACGGGTAAAAAAAATGTAATATACTTATTATGTGGAAATTAATATATGGATATATATTATCCATAAAATAGATTTTTAATTTTTATTCCACAAAAAGGAATGAAGTGCTGATACATGCTAAAACACGAATGAAGCTTGAAAACATTATGCTCGGTGAGAAAAACCAGACACAAAACCCTACACATTTTATTATTTCATTCAGACAAGATATCCAGAACAGGGAAATTTACAGAGAGAGAAAGCAGAGGGACGCCTGGGGTGGCTCGGTTGGTTGAGCGTCATCCTTCTGCTCAGGGCATGAGTCCAGGGTCCTGGGATCGAGTCCTGCAAAGGAGTCCTTGCTCAACGAGGAGTCTGCTTCTCCCTCTGCCTGCCGCACCCCTGCTGGTGCTCGCTGACAGATAAATGAATACAATCTTTTAAAAAATGCAGATTCCTGGTCCCTTAAGGGCCAGAGGATGGGTGGGGTGCGGTTGAGGGAAGAGAGGAGTGACAGCTAGGGGGTACAATGTTTATTTTTGACGTGATGAAATGTTCCAAAATTGACTGTGCTGATGGCGGCACACATCTGTCAATATACTGAAAACCATCGAGTCATCAGTGAAATGGGTAAGTTATATGGTATGTGAGTTATAGCTCAAGGAAGCTGTTAAAAAAAAGAAGGCGCGGAACATGATCTTTTAGGCTCAAACTGTAGCTGACATTTCAAGCTGACACGCCCGTAAGGTAGGCACATGATGTTCACTAGGCAATTCTTCCACCTCTTCTCCTTGGTGGTAAATTTCCACAGTAAGCGCGGGGTTGGGGGAGCCTGCGGATGACGTCCGATTGTTCGTTTCTTATTGACTGAAGTCATCTCCGCAGCAGTGTGGACCTGACTACCGACCCGAGATCGGGAGCCGCACGCTCTTCCCACCAAGCCAGCCAGGGGCCCCTAGAGCCTGAGGATGATTTTTTTTTTTTAAAGGTTTTTTTTATTTATTTGACAGATCACAAGTAGGCAGAGAGAGAGAGGAGGAGGAGGCAG